GACGCACAGGGTGTGTGTAATGTGTGTGTGAATAATCATTTATGTACTGTGCGGCCCAACAGTTCCACTCCTGAATATGTATACCAGAGAAGTGCTTGCATGTGACTTTATTATATGAACATAACGTTCATATTCATAACAGCTTAATAATAGTCTCAAACTGGAAACAGCCAAAATATCCATTTACAGTAGTATAGACTGTAGCTTGGTTGCATGATACAATTACACAAGAGTGGGAAACTAGTGCTGTATATAGTAACGTAAATGAATTTTATAGGTTGATGTTGAAAGGTAAAGAAGATAAAATGTGTTCTTTGAACTTGCATTTTCATTCAACAATCCTGAGACATATCTGTTGTCATTGCGTGTGTCTGTAATTCATTGTATCTGTGTATTGCATTCTGTTATGTGAATATCTAATAATTTATGTATTTATTCTAATAATGGACATTTGTTTATCTCAAACAGTGCTAAAAGCATTTACATATATTGATAGTTAGCATAGTTTAGAAATAAAAATTATTGGGATTTGGAGGAAATCAGGTTTATTTGCATGTGATTGAATAAGGTTCCTTCTTCCCATTCCTGTAGTCGCTGTCCTGCAGCGATGGACTTGGTGCACGGAGCCAATAATAACACACGTGGACCCTGACTGATGGTCAAAGCCGAAGTTTATTAGTGGCATCAGACTGTATACACTGAGGGTCATATGGGATAAGGGAGGAAGTATTGAGCTCATCAACAAAACCCAGTAACAGTTTCTATGCTTTTGTTTGGAACTCCTTTTGTCTTGTATATTCCACCAAGTGTTCTCACACACACACTGTCCATTCAACTGTTCTTATACAGATAATATCCAATCAGGTATACAAAAGGTGGCCATTCGGTTGTTCTCATGCAATTATTATCCAATCAACTGTAATCCTGTGCTCGCTGACCCTCTAGGGTCACAATGTCCTCCTACACTGTAGGAAAATTTCAAACAGGAGAACTGGGCACAGTATAGAAGTTCTTGTAGTTTTTGTTTTAATCTGCACATCTAGTTATAAAATTTATTCTGTATTTGAAATACTGTAAACTAGCACAGTATTGGTCTGTTTGACCATTGGGGAAGAGGTCAGTGATGCTGTGTGACAACTCCTAAAGTCTTCTGAGAAGAGAGTAGGAAAAAAAGCTCCGAGAATCTGATTGTTTACCTAGACAGAAAGCAGTCACTGAGTCCTTAAATTGAAGCATGACATTGTGCAGTGGCGCACTAGTGGATGAAGTACAGAACAGAATCGAGGATGTCCGTTGGGAAGTTGACAGAATCTGCTACAAATGTAATATCAGACTGCAGTGAGATGGAACCGAAGACACATTTCCTGTGAGCCGTGGGGCTTGCCGCAAAAGGCACATGTGGCTGCTTGAGCAGTTCATTCAGACCATTTAGGAGGCCATTGGAATATTGAGTGGCAGGACAAGGTCAGTAATAGCAAACACTTGGAATGCCACCTGTGTACGAGCTATGAAATTTCCGCTTCAGCGCAGTTTTACTGAACCGACTCTGTTTGCAACGTGGATAACCACAGAGCTCCTCAGTGACTGTTAAATAGTAAGCTGGGCATGGGAAAGCGCATGTTGGGCAGGCACAAGGAATGTCTCAAGATTCATTGCAGAGTGAGGCCTAAGGGGCAAGCCCAGCAGCTGGTGAGCAGCCAGGCCTGAGGCTGTAATGGCTGGGCTTGCTGCTGCTGAGCAAAGGCTTCAGGGTGGCTGTGGAGTCTAAGAAGCAGGACCACAGACAACGACAGGCTGTTTAAGTAGCAGGCACAGCTGCTTCTGAGAGCAGAAAGACTCATGTGATGGGTGTTCTCTGTACCATAGACTGTTGGGTTCATTTGATTGTCTTTGTTTGTACTTGTGAATCTAGTTAAGAAAAGCACTGATTCATACACACAGTTTCTCTACTTTTGTCAAGGAAAAAAAAAGTCAAAAATAGTTGATTAGAAATTGTAGAAATAGAGATTTCACATTATTAACATTTTATGCTTTATCAGTCTCAGCACATTTTTATATTATTGACAGCTTAAATGATAATCATCCCAAGAACTAATGACATAACAGTGCTTTAAATTTCAACATGTCTGTAAGCATTTTACCATATGACTTTTTTTTAATGAAAAATGTTATTTTATTTTATTTTATTACTTTATGATATAGTTCCATAGGCTCTGGGATTTCCCTTATCCTCTCCCTAAATTCCTACCCCCCCCAATGATTTTTATTATAGCAATAATGTAGTCCTTCATAAGCAGTCATAAGTCCATTATTCTGCTATTTAAGTGTATGCTGACATTGAAGGCATAGGCAATGGCAGAGAGTTCAGCATCCTATGGTCAAGATGTTTCTAACAGTTTCATTGGGAGTTATCTTTGATTTGGAAGTAGAGATGCACACTGCATTGTATCTTCATATTTGGATGCGATAGTCCCTATTACAGTTGCTGTACATCCTCTGAAATGAAAGCCGTAAAAGAAAATTAACAACAGGAAGAAAAATAGAAAATTGGGAGCAACATAAAGTCAAGCAACATGCTACTGAATAACCAATATGTTGTTGAAGAAATGAAAAGGAAAGCACAGGCAGTCAAAGCCGAAATAAACCATGGGGGTTGCATCAAACTAAAAAGTTCTGTACAGCAAAGGAGACGATCAACAAAGCAAAGAGACAACCAACAGAATGGGACAAAGTCGCTGCACATTACAGAGCCAGTAGGGGATTACATCGAGGATTTAAAAAGAGCTTCAGAAGCTCAGTGACAGCAATGCAAACAACCATGTGAAGAAATGGGCAAAGGAAATGAAGACATTCTTCAAAACAACAAATTCAGATTGCTAAGAGAGCAGTGAAAAAATGCTTAGCTGTCAGGGAGATACACGTGAAAACCACATTGAGGTTCCACCTAACTCCAGTGAGACTGTTCTGTGTTCAGAACTCTACTAACGACATTGCTGGTGTGGATGTGGGGAGAAGGGTATCCTCCTTCACTCTTGGTGGGAATGTGGGCTAATGGAAACACTGTGGAAGTCAGTGTGGAGAGTGCTAAGAGAACTGAAGATTTTCTTGTCAAATGACCCCGCTATCGCACTTCTGGGAATATATCAAAAGGTAGTGAAATCTGCATATGAGGAAGGGATCTGTAATTCTGTATTCACAGCAGCACAATTTAACTAGCAAAGACACGGAAACAACCCAGATGCCCATCAAAAGAGGAGTGGTTAAAGAAACTGTGGCACATCTACTCCATAGAATACTACTCAGTCACTAAAAAGAATGAAACTCTACTATTTGCAACCAGATGGTCCCAGCTAGAGACAATTATGCTCAATGAAATGTCATTCCTAAAAGAACAAATATCATCTATTATCTCTCTGATATAAGGCAACTTCCTTGCAAAATATGAGCTCAATATCCCTTTCAGTACTGTTTTTGCTACATCTCATAGGTTTTGTTAATTTTTAAATTTCTTCAAAATAGTTTTTTTTTTCTCTAATTAAATTCTTCACTGTTTCGTAGGTCATACAGTAGCATCATTTTCTTCAAGAAGGTTTTTTTATTTTTGTTTTCATTTCTTCAGCAACACATTGGTCATACTATATACTCTTTTTTGTTGTTTTCCAATGGGTTTCATTCACAAATTCCCGTTTATCTCTGTGTAGGGCCAACACAATTGAAGCCATATACCGCCTAGTGGGAGTTTAATAAATAGATGTTTAACTGGACTGACCTCTAAGCAATACCAGTGAATGGTAGCCTAGGTGGTAAGCAAGTAGTTCTCACTGTACGGCCTCATCCTAAGCAAGATCATGTCACACTCTAAATCTAGCCATTTGACTGTGCTGTAATTAGACTTGCAACATGCAGCATTTCACTTTTTTAAGATTTTTTTTTTTTTTGCTTTGAGTTTGCAACCCTCATGACTTTTCTTCCATCTTCTGGTTTTGTTGGATTCCTTGCATTAAGTACATACATGTGTCATCTCTTCGGACAACAGGGGTAAAACTCTGTGATGAGTCAAGAGAATTACAAGCGTGGGGCTGAGAAAGAGATGACAGTGGGAATGGCTTGGGAATGAGGAAGGACAAGATATGGAGGGCCACAGAGCCACAGCTTTAGAGAAAGAGCAGGTATTCAGGGAGGACGCAGGAATAATGGCAGTGGTTCAAGAAAGACAAATCATGGTTAGATACCAAGTGATAGAATCTTTTACCTGTGTTCCGAAGATAGACAGCTAAATACTTTGTTGGGAAATTCAGCAAGTCCCCATGTGAAGGAAATGTGTGTCACAGGTCTGTAACAAAACATGCCACTTTGTATGCGTGGTTACATTTATATACTGAACAAAATTGTTAATCACATTGTGAGTCCTGTGATTTTTAACACTCTCAGAGCATACATAATATTTTTCATATAAACTTGCTTTTGTTTAAAAGATTTCATTGTGAAGCCTTGCTATTTGTAGTTTGATGAATGAAGTGTTGGTTTTTCCAAAACAGAAGCAGAGAAAGTCATCTTCATTGTAAAAAGGAGATTAGTGAACTAGACAGATAGACATTATAAATCCATGTCCTTTTGGAAAAAAGTTTTCATGCTGTTCACAAAGTTACCTTTTCTTGGTTTGGACTGTAATGACTAGTCAATGACCTTCCTTTACTCTGGTAAGACCGGTAAAGGGCATAGTCTGTGTTGCCCTCTGTTGGTGGTTAATAGTTACTTTTGACAAAGTTATAGTTGCTGTGTCATTTATATATGTGAGTATTTAATGGTTTTTATCAACAAATATGTTTTAGACAAAATAAATTTCTAAAATTAGAAATTTCTAAATTTCTAATGTGAATGGACAAAAAGTGGAATAATGAATTCTTAGGATTTTTGTTTTAACAGTTTTATTGATTAAGATGGTAATGAAATTCACTTATCTCTGATTAATTTTAACTCTTAATTTTTTTTTTTGTCAGAGTTCCACCTCAGATCAGGCGTCCCAATCGAGAAGTAAGGCCTCTGAGGAAAGAGATGGCAGGAGTCGGAGCCCGGGGCCCTGTAGGCCGAGCACATCCCATATCAAAGAGTGAGAAACCTTCTACGAGTAGGGACAAGGACTGTAGAGCAAGAGGGAGAGATGACAAGGCAAGACTGTCTCTTTGTGATTCACTCCCTAGAAGCCCATGACTTTTGGTAGATATGTTGATGTTTTGGTTGGATTTTTCAAGGTAATGTTTTAACGTGGAAGAATTGAAAGCAGTCTTATTCAAAACGTAAGGGTCTTTATGTTTGGAAAGCCTTGCCTTGGTGTGATTATCCCCAGAAACATTCAGAGTATCAAAACTATTTTGAAAACTATCTTAATGAAGCTTTCTTTCTGAGTTAAAATGAATAGTAAATGAAAATGTAAGTTTACGGAAGTGATTTGTATAAGGCAGTATATGTGTATATCCACAGAATATGAAGGTTGTGTTTATTTCTACAGTTAAAAATAAAAAAGAAAATCTCTGACTTACCTAATTGATTGATTAGAGCTTGATTTTGTTTTTCTTAATGAGAAAATTCTCTTTGTTTAGCATTCATTGTACATACTGATTTACCTGGGGAATTGAGAGGTCAGCGCAGCACAGAGAGGAAATTGTGTTACCCTTAACATGGATTTTAAAACACAGCTTTAAGTTGTTTATTTGAAAGAGAGGACAGATTTTCCATCTGCTAGTCACTCCCTAAATGTCCATAGCGACTGGGATGGGCCGGGGGCTTCTTTTTTTTTATTATATTTTTTGACAATCTTTACATAGCTAATAAGGGTAAAAAGGTTCAAGGGCTACAGAAAAGTGGGTAAGACTATTATTTCCATGTTGTTTCCTTCATGTGTCTGAGGTGAAGAGGGATATTAAGGGAGAAGCCCCACCCAGTCTCTCACCCACCCCAGGACCCAAATGTGGGGCATGAGGAGGTGGGATTTTAATCCAGGGCTCTCCTGTGGGGGGCAGGGAATTGAGCCATTGTCTTTGTCTCCCAGAGTTCTGGAATCAGAAGTGGAGCTGGGAAATGAATCCAGGCATTCTGATAAGAGCCCGTGGACATTTTAACAGCTGTGCCAAAAACCTGCCCCTTGATTTTTAAAAATGTTCATAACTTTGGAACTTTTGTATCATGAAAAGGTGATTCTTAACTTATACTTTTTTTGAGAATGTTGAGAGGTACTAATATGTTAGTTGTTTCTGCTGCTGAGATGTAATCCCATCTCCCACCTGTGAAAAGCTGAGTAAGTAGATAGGTGAATCTGCATCTTACATATCACCTTTTCTTTTTCTGTTCCTGTTTGCATTGTGGAGGATGAAATGAGGGCTGAAATCCAGACTTCACTCTACCAGTAGTTTGTAGATAAGTTTTAAGATAGTGTGGGGTGGGGAACTTTTAGTCTTGAATTTTACAACACTTGGACAACTGCGGCCATGGTTTATCGGATGCTGCCTTGCTAGCCCCATGGGAGAGATAACACAGTCACTCGTGGAGCAGGACCCTGGAGTGACCTCTCACCATCCCCACTTTACAGATGGGGGACTGTGGTGTGAGGAGCTCAAATGTCCTACTGCCGTGGTAAAGTAAGGCATGGTAAAGATGCAAGAATGATGTATGTGAAGTCACTTCTCTTTTCCCTGTTTGCGTTTTTTATATCGTGTAGTGTCCCTGCCTGCCAAACTAGATTAGTAATCTGGATTAAATTTGGAAAAAAGAGAGCCAGAACAATTAAATAAACATTGGCTTTTAGATGTGACTCCTAAGCAGTGAGTAAAACAATCAAGCAGTGTTTGTTCTATGTCAAGTAAATTTTTTTAGAGATTGTAAATTGTCTTTCTTGTATAATTTTCCAAATCACATCCTAAATGCTTATTCTTTCATGGACATTTAAGTATTCAGAATGTCGTTGAAAAATATGCCATTCATTTGAAGCCAACCAACCAGTTGTCTGAGTAACTGTGAAAATAAAAGGGATTTTTGCTCAGTTCTGATGATTGTGATTGCTTAGATATTCAGTGGAATACTAAGGTTCCCCAACTCATTGAAGGCTGAGATAGAGTTTGAGGTAACTTGGGTAAAATGGTGAATGTCTGCTTCTGTTGAAAGCTAAAGTGAAAATGCATCTTGTGAGCTCAGAGATATAATTTACAATACTATCTTTTTTTTTATTGGTATCTCTTTTTTTCTCTTTTTTTAAAATTTTATTTTGACAATCTTTACATAGTTAATTAGGGTAAAAAGATTCAAGGGCTATAGGAAAGTGGGTAAGACTAGTATTTTTTCCATATTGTTTCCTTCATGTTTAAAGGGGGGTATTAAGGGAGAAGACACACCCAATTTCCCACCCTCCCCTGGTCCCGGATGTAGGGCATGCTCTGAGGATCTTGCTCAAGTGGCTTTGATATTTCAACAGTTATGAATCGCTGCCAATCTTGCCACTCCAAGCACTATGAGGTCTTCGAAAAATCCACTGATTTACATAGTCCATCATAGCTGAGATGGTTGGTTGACCTGTTCTGTCTTCTCTCTTTTCTTGGTAAGGGTTCTGAGTCCAGCATTTAGATTAGGAAGAACTCCAAAGAAACTTTGTCTGAGGTGTTCTCAAAGAAACTTCTTGTATGTGCTAGCAAGTATAGGACCCAGCACAGTCCATCGCCCTGATCAGCTGGTAGTTGTAATTGCTGGGTTGGTTCTGTTTTCACTCCTGACTTCCACTGGAACCAATGGGTGTTGCAGCCCAGCCTGGTTCTGCCCAGCACATACGTGGCCCTCACGTAAACCAGTGGGAGCTGCAGCCTAGTTGGAGCAGCCCACAATAACCCCCACCAGGCCTGCCCCCTACCCTGGTTTGCCAGTATGTGTAGCAATAATCCAGTCTGTCCCACACCCCATTCCACCCCAGCTGCTGTCTTAGTTTTATGTCCCCCCGTGGAAGTGGTAACCCAAGAGTTGATGAGCCCACTATTTCCCTCCGAGGCCTCTCCCACTCCCAGATTATGCACTCTCCAGATAGTTCTGTGGTTTGACTTGACAGAACTAGCTCCCAGTCCCAGCCTCTGCCAGCTGATGCTGTGGCTAAGCCCAAACAACCCTCACCCACTCTAATTTTGTTTGCACCAGTAGGAATAATCTGCCCAGCCCGGCTTTTCCCTGATCTAGTCCACATGAGGCGCACAGGTGTTGTAGCCCTGCCTAGTCTGGTCTCCCCCCATCCCAGCCTACGTTCTCCTGCGAAAGTAGCTGTCCAGCAAAGGAACCCTCCCTTATTCCCATGCTGGCGCTGCCCCCTCCCTTCCTTGTTCTCAGGCTGGTTGGGCGCTGCGGTCCCTTCCAGTACGGGCAATCTCACCTTGGCATTCCATATTGGGCACTAGTCTTTGTTGCGACTGAGTCTGGCTCGACCCACACTGGTGCTTGGATTTGCCAGTGGATGATGTGGATAGATTCAGCCTGGTCTTCCCCCAACCCCTGCCAAATGTATGCCAGTGGGTAACTTTCCAGGGCCTGTTCTGGGCTGTTTCCTATCATGTTTCTTGCGCTTACCTGCCGGGTCTGTGTCCTGCCAGAGGAGTTGCCCAGGCTCCTCCATCAGAACCTCTCCCAATGCCAGGTTTCACGCTTACCAGTGGGTCCATGAGCCAGGCCTACTCAGTCTACCTCCTGTCATAGCAGGAACTGTGGCTTTTCCTGACTGGCCTTCAACCCAATCTGGTTCTTGCTGTTGGATGTTTCAGCCCAGCCATGGTTTGTCCATACCCACATATGGCTCACTCATGGCTCAGTAGGGGTTTGAGACCTTGCCTAGTCCATCGCACATCTGCCCTGGTCCTCCAGGACACCAGTGGGTGTTGGGGTCTGGCCTGGTTCTGTGCATCCAATCCCAGTCCACACTTGTGCCAAGGGAGACTACAACCGTTTCCAGATCAGAATGCAGCCCCCATTCCAGGTCACACGCCCTTTGGTGGGAACCTCAACCTAGCTAGGGTTGTCCCTTTAGCTCCCTAACCGGGCCTGTTCCCAGCCATAGATCACTCGCATGCCGGTGGTTGCTCTGACTCAGCTTGGCACAGCCCCTCTCCTTTCCCGACCTCTGCCTTAGACACTATGGCTTAGTGTCCCTGGCTCATGTGAACCAGTAGGTACAAGAGCCTCGCTCGGCATGACCTCTGCTCCCTCCTGGTTTCTAGTTTTGCTTGTGGGCTAAGGTTTGCTCAGTCGTGCCTGATCTACTCTGTTCCATTACCAGTTGATACATTAGCCAGCTGTTGGAGCTACTTTTCCCAGGTTGTCCAACAATACTATCTTTTAAAATCAGTTCTGTGTATTGTGTTCAGCTTAAAAAAAGGAGAGGGAATAAACTAGAGTTCATTGCCCATGGTAATGATGGTACTATTTTTAAAGAGAAAAAATTAGTTATATAAATTTAGAATCATTCAGTTATAAACATGTTCACCTTGTGATCTAAAACACACTTACCACTTTGTGTCATGGTCAGTGTTGCCACAGTTCAAGCACTTAACTGCACAGATGGAAAGACAAAGGGGAGGATGCAAGAAAATCCCCGTCTGCTCCCGGCTCTCCGCTGTGCTGGGGTTTTAGCTGCAGTGTTCAGTAGCAGAAGCAGCAAATGTTATCCTTCCAGAAGCACTTGCACCTCTTTTATTTTTTTTTAAGCTTTACAAAAAAAAAGAAAGAAAAACATGTTCCCCTTGAAAATTTTTTATGTGTGTTGGTTTATTTGCTTCCTCTGTGCTCCTAGAAACTCAGTGATATTTTGTATGTTTTGCATAGAACAGACGGAGGCATGGAAGCCGTAGCTGCAAGTAGATGGTGGAGCTAGGATTTGACCCTAGCTAGCAGTAACACGTGAGCTTTTAATCATGCTGTATGGCTTCTTGTTTGAAAATGCTTTCGGTATCATGTTAGTGTATCATTAATACTTTTTTCACATAAGAAGTGCAATCCTGGGGGTGGTTAACATTATTTTTCTCTTTTTAAGCTGCTGATAGGCTCCAGGTTAGGTTTAAGCTTAAAATATCATTGCTCATAATGATCACTTGACATAGTGTTTTTTTGTAGAACTGTTGTAACCTCCATCCCTACCCTCATCCCCCTGA